GATTCTGAAGCTTCATCTGACATACTTTGGGCATGTTGCAAGGAGGGACTGGTCCTTGGAGAGGGACATCATGTTTGGCAGAGTGGAGGGGCGGCGAAGGAGAGGAAGACGTTCGATGAGATGGATCAATTTTGTGACTGGAGTGGTGGGAATAAGTGTGTTTGAGATGGCTAGGTTGGCACAGGATAGAACGGCGTTTAGAGCTCTTGTACGTAGGGTTGCTGAGTCGCAAACGACTTGATGGCACATAAGAACAATAACAACATGTACAACAGCCCTAAACCCTGCTCTATCTCTTGCCAACCTTATTATCTCCGACACACCTATCTCAATTAACCCAGTGACTGAATCAATACATCTTATCGAGGGTCTTCCTCTCCTGCGCTGTCCCTCCACTCTCCCAAGCATGACATCTCTCTCCAGGAACTGATCACGCTTTGTAACATGTCCAAAGTATGTCAGACGAAGCTTCAGAATCCTTGCTTCCAAGGAGCAGCCTGCCTTCACCCTCTCCAGGTCAAACTTGTTTGTTCTCCTAGCAGGCCGTGATATACTCAATACTCTTCTCCAACACCACAGCTCAAAGATGTCAACAATCCTTCTGTGCATAACAAGTAATTACAAAGACCATGGCGTGTATCAGGTGCACCTTAGTCTCCAGACTGACATCCTTGTTCTTCAGTACTTTGGAGAGGTCTCTGACAACAGACTTTCCCAGTGCAATTTGCCTTTTAAATTCCTGGCTGCTGGTACCAAGAGTGTTGTTTGTGGAGTCAAGCAAACTGAAAATGTCAACAACCTCAATCTCTTCACCGTCTATCATGATGCTGCCAACTGGTCCAGTGGTGAGAATCTTTGTTTTCTTGATGTTGAGCTTCAATTCATATTGAAGGCTGTCCCTGACCCTCTGCAGCAAGCGCTTCAGGTCCTCCTCAGTTTTAGCAAGCAGGGTTGTGTCATCTTCATAACGCAGATTGTTGCTGAGTCTATCTCCAATCCTGATGTCACACTTCTCCTCATAGAGCCCAGCCTCCCAGATAATGTGTTGTGCATATAGTTTGAAAAGATATGGAGATAGGACACATCTTTGAAGCACAACCCAGGAATTGACAGCATACTGATTGACATATTTCAAAAACAGATGCTGCCCTGGATGTGCTCACCAAGTTGTGCCAAGAAATCTGGAGGACAACCACCTGACCAGCTGACTGGAAGAGATCTATATTTGTTCCCATTCCAAAGAAAGGTGATCCAACAGAGTGTGGAAGTTATCTAACAGTATCATTGCTCTCACATACAAGCAAGATTCTGCTGAAGATTATCTAAAAACATCTGGAACAGTACATCAACAGAGAACTGCTGGCGAGCTCTGGTGGCCTAGTGGCAAGAAGTTACACTGCAATCCCAGAGGCGCACAGTTCGAATCCACCAGATGTTCTGCTGGAGAAGGAGGGACATTCTCCTCCTGTACCAGTCAGATCTGATTTGACGGTACATACACAAAAAAAACAATAAAATAAAATAAAAACAGAGAACTGCCGAAGTTCAGGCTGGATTTAGAAGAGGCCATGACACTAGGGATAGTATCACTAATGTCAGATGGATTTTGGCTAAAACAGAAACAGAGAGTACCAGAAGAATGTCTATCTGTGTATCATTGACTATGCAAAGGCATTTGACTGTGTGGATCATGACAAACTGTGGCTGATTCTGAGAAGAATGGGAATCCCAGAACACTTGATTTTGCTTAAGTGAAACCTATACTGGGACTAGGAGGCAGTTGTCAGAACAGAGCAAGGAAATTAGAAGGGTAGCTGGTCTGATTTGTAGACAGCCTTGTCTAAATTTACATATTTTATTTTCATGTTTAAAGGCACATATATTAATCATCTCAACATTTACTCCTACTGTGGCCCGGTCCTTGATTTTCTTGTAAACATTCCTACTCTTCCCAAGGCATTTTCAGGTGGTAGCCCACTATAACTCATAGCAACCCTATGAACAGTGGATCTGATCCCTGTCCTATCTTGTGTCATCTTCCTTATCTCTGTGACACACTTGAGCCACCTTTACATCTTCTTTTTCGCTGGCCCTCCACCTTTCCCAGAATGATGTCCTTTTCCAAGGACTGTCCATTCTAACAACATACATACCCAAAGTATGTGAGACAAAGTTTCACTGTCCTTGCCTCTAAGGAGCACCCTGGCTGAGCTTTTGAGACATACTTGTCTTTTTTGGTTGTTCATGGGATATTCAATATTCAACACCACAACTCAAAGACATTGATTCTTCTGACATCCTTATTCACTGTTCAACTTTAGTATAGCAAGTAATTGAAAATACCAAGATTTTAATCAGGTGCATTTTATTCTTTAAACTGACATAGTTGCTCCTTTGCACCTTGGAGAGATCGTGGACATATTTTCTGAATTCAACATGTCTTTTTATTTTCTTGACTGTTGATACCAAGGGTGTTAATTATGGCCCCAATAAAGAGGATATTGTTGACAATGTCAATCTATTCTTTTTCATGATATGGTTCATTGACCCAGTGGTAAGACTCTAGTCCTAGTCCATGTCGAGATGTAGACCATATAAAAGGATGGAGTCTTTGATCTTCTGTATTTCAGTAATTTTTGCTTTCAGCAAGAAAGGTTGTTTCATCTGCATAATACAAGTTTTTTTAAGAATCTTCCTTCAATCCTGATGCTACATTCTTCTTCATAAAGTCCAGTCTCTTGAATGATTTTCTCAGTGTACAAATGGAATAGATATGAAGAAAGGATACAGAAACTGTGATAATTTCTATGGATTTTTCCCCCTCACCCCTGGACTCACAATGCCATTTGAAAATACAATGCAACCGATAAAAGCAGGGCTTCTGATAGGAGGGAGTTGAGAGTTCCCAAAGGAAAACGAAAAAAGAAGGGAAGCAAGGCCCCACAAGTCCAAGGACTTGCAGTGAGCAGGGCTATGGCCTTCTCCTGGAGACCCTGAGACAGAGCCCCAGGAAGAGGTGATGACAAAAGAGAAGACTTCTCAAGCTTCATAAGAGGAAGTGGGCCTAAGAAAGCCGCATGGGAGGTCAGACAACGGCCAGGCAGAAGGAAAGACAGCAAGCTGAGCTGCAGTGAGCTTCTGAGCCCTGCAGCCCTATAGCCCTGCATCTAAGGGCACAGGAAACTGGAGGCAGAGCCTCAGACCCAGAGTCAGTGCAAATGCTGTCCACAGCCTCTGGCAGCTCAGGAAAGCTAGAAGAGAGGAGCTGGAGCCACTGAAGGAGTTGGGTTGTTAGTTCTAGGCAGTAGTCTCCCTAGGCCTAAGGCACAGGATCCAAGTCCTTAGTAGGTGTCACTGCCAAGTGCAGGCAGTAGGGTGCTGTGCCAGGCTGAGCAGCAGATAGGGCTAAAAACAAGCGAGGGTTTAGAGCATGGTGCAGACCATGGGTAAACACCAAGCATATGAGCATGCCCTTGTCATAACACAGGCCCTTGGCTATGGCTTGTTCCTAGAACCTATCTATCCCTACTTCCACTACACCTCCAACAATACCCTTTGGCTTGTACCCAAAAGGATGCCCTGGAAGGCGGGGCTACAAAAGGAACTGACTGTCTCTGGGGGTAGGTGGAGCCCAGCTCAGAGGGACCCAGAGAGAGGTGGGTCCAGGGAGGAGCTCAGGCCAGGCAGGGGTCGGCACTGGAAGAGAATTTTCTGGTTCATTCTGACTAGTCATCTCATTCTTGACACAGAACTTGTTGGATATTGAAGGGAGGAGAACACTCAAAGTGAGGAGTTGCCCTCATCAAGAACTCTGGAGGCCCCTGGGCTCAATGGGAAGAAGGAGGGCCATCTCCAGAACCCTGGCTTGGACACTGACCAAAGAATGCCCACTACCTACTCAATAAGCCAGCGACTCCATTTCTCTAAGGCCTGCATCCCTCCCTCTGGGGTACGCCTTGCCCCTCCCTGTGTCACCCCAGGGAGAGAAGGGAAAAAAGGAAGAGAGGAGAGGCATTGACCACAGAGGAAGGAAAGGGAAGCAGAGCAGAGGAGGGAGAAGAGAAGCCACGCAGGAGTGGGTGACAGAGGAGAACAGAGAGAGCAGATCTGGGTCAGCTCTGGGTCCAAGAGATCGAGAGAGGGCAGCCGAGCATCCCTGGGGGTGCCCCAAAGCAGGGCAGCGGGGGCGGGGAGCCAAGGGGGCGGGCCAGCCATGTCCCACGGGACATACTATGAGTGTGAGCCCCGGGGTAGCCAGCAACCACTCGAGTTCTCAGGGACCCGAGCAGGGCCTGGGGACCTGGGGGACATGTGTGAGCATGAGGCCTCCATCGACCTCTCTGCCTACATTGAGTCTGGGGAGGAACAGCTCCTCTCCGACCTCTTTGCCGTGAAGCCAGCATCCGAGGCCCGAGGCCTCAAGGGCCCTGGAACCCCTGCCTTCCCCCACTACCTGCCGCCTGACCCACGGCCTTTCACCTATCCTACACACACCTTCGGCCCAGACAGGAAAGCCTTGGGGCCTGGCATCTACAGCAGCCCGGGGAGCTACGACCCAAGGGCTGTGGCTGTGAAAGAGGAGCCTCGGGGGCCAGAGGGCAACCGGGGTGCCAGCCGCAGCAGCTACAACCCCTTGCAATACCAAGTGGCACACTGTGGACAGACGGCCATGCACCTGCCCCCAGCCCTGGCGGCACCCAACCAGCCCTTGCGAGTCCTCAAGGTAAGAGTAGACCACTTCTCCCCTCCTGCCACCCTGGAGCTGGAAAGAGGCTGGTATGGATTGTGGTGGGAGGTTGGACTCTGTGTTTGGTGTTGCTCTGTGAACCTGGCCCACCAAAGCCCACTGTGCTGGCTCCCTTGCCATGGCCACCCCACTTTGCTCTTCTGGTAATTCATTTCCATCCTGAACCCCATCATGTGGCTGAGACCCTGTGTGTCCTGTGGGGAGCTGACTTACTCTGATCTCAGCCCCTTTCCCAACTTCTCTGCTTTCCACAAGACCTCCTCCTCTTGTTTCTTTGCTGCATGCTTCTGGAAGAGAAAAGCCGGCTCAGTGTAAGGCAGGAGACTCAAGACAGATTGAGGGAAGTGTCTTGAAAGGGAGGTCTGGTTGCAAGCAGAAGACGCTGTGCATCTGAGATACCCTGAACAGAGCAATAATTGCTTTGATCTGGGAGACAGCAGCTGATTCTGAACCCTGTGTAGTCTAGTTCTCTGATGTCCAGTTGCATTCTGGCTCCTAAGTCCCTGCCCTTGCCTCCTTGCAAATATTCATCTCCCTGTACCTCTGTGCCTTCCCCTTCAGGCTCCTCTGGCCGCTGGTGCACAACCTTGCAGCCCCCTCCTCAAGGCACCTTCTCCTGCCGGCCCCTCACACAAGGGCAAGAAAGCTGTGAACAAAGACAGCCTGGAGTACCGTCTGCGGAGGGAGCGCAATAACATTGCTGTGCGCAAAAGCCGGGACAAGGCCAAGAGGCGGATCCTGGAGACACAGCAGAAGGTGCTAGAGTACATGGCCGAGAATGAGAGCCTCCGCAGGCGCGTGGAGCAGCTCACCCAGGAGCTGGACACCCTTCGCAACCTCTTCCGCCAGATCCCTGAGGCCGCCAACCTCATCAAGGGTGTGGGGGACTGCCCCTGAGCCCAGCTGACTGGACTGTCACCCGCCTTCCTAACCCTGCCTGACCCTTCCTTGCTGGCCAAGTGTGAGACACAGAACGTGGACAAATGATAGGGGGGTGACAAAGGTGGGTGGACCTCAACATTATTGTTCTGTGGCTGAATAAAATTGCACTGTGATTTGATGATGGGGTGGCATCCTGGGCCTGTGTATGTGTGTGCATATGTGCATATGTTGCATGGGAAACGGAAAGGGTAATAAATGTGTGTGGCTAGGTGTAAGCACCCCTTGTTTCAATACCCAGATGAAAAGCAGCCATACAGACACACGGTTTGCAACCACTGTCACCCTGCTCTTCCTGCCTGCTCTGGCCCACTTCTGTCCTTTTAGAAGCTAAAAACAGCCACTCCAAACCCAAGGCCTGGAATAACTTCTGGATACTCTTCTAAGAGAGATAAGTGAGAGCATTTCAGAGGCCTGGGGGGAGGTTCCAGCACCATATCATCAGTCCCTTATGCCTGTGGCTGCTCACACAAGCCCTGGACTCTCTCACCTTGTGCTAGAGGCCTGGGAACTCCTGCCCTAGGTGACCAAATATGACACCTTAGCCCTTGATCTAGCGCTTGGACCTTTTCTCTTCAATTCCACAACCTCTGCTTCCTGTACCAGGAAAACCCCAAATTCATAGCCTTTTCCTTTTTTTCTTTTATAACTACACCTTAAGGTCACCATGTGTCATAGATCACTCAACAACACCCAACAACAACAACAGCTGAAGAGGCAGAATAGTAATTAAATGCCTCTGTTTTCATTTCCTTCTGCTTAATAGCTGTGTGACCTTGAGCCAATCATGTCTCTGCTTTGTGCCTCAGTTTTCTCATCTGCAGAGTAAAATAATCAGTGCCCACCTCATAGTATTGTTATGAGGATTAAAATAGTTCATAGATAAAACACTATACATGGTACGTATTACCAATGTAAATTGCTTAATGTTCATTCAGATGTCCAGCTGTGTATACATCCCTGGTCCCATATATTGTTTCACCCCATTATGTTTATTATAGCCCCTTAATGTCTTGAAGGGGAGATCTCGTGGTGTAGTCAAGAATTGTGTGCATCTTTCTGGTGGTTCAAATTCAACAGCAGCTCCACAGGAGAAGGGGGGGAGGGATCTTTCACTACCTGTGCAATTCACAGCCATCCAAATATGCTCCTGAGGGTCAGCTATGAGTCGGTTCTGACTTGATGGCAATGAGAGAGAAAGAGAGAATGACAAGATTCTAAACCCAACCCAGACTTAGAGCACAGGTAGGTGAAGACAAAGACTTGGCTCTTGGCATTGGCTCTCAGCTCTGTCCAGGGTGCAGGCAGTAGTGGGAGTGGTGGGAGCAATGGCACTGGACAGCTTCTGCTCTTTGGATGGGTAGAACATGGAGTGTAGCAAAGTGCACTCTGCTCTATCCTTAATTGTGTCTTCTCACTGTGTGCTTCTGCAGGCGCTGCCACAGCCTCCTCCACCAGCAGAAGTAACAACAGCAGTAATAAGACAACCAGAAGCAGGCTTTTATAAGGTTTTATATGGTGTTCGCACAGTGTCCAAATCACCTAAGGCCCTATTTCACAGAATCGTAGACATTAAGCAATACCTGCCTGTATGTGAATGTTGTTGTTGTTGTTATGTGCCGTCGAGTCGCCTGTGACTCATAGCAACCCTATGTACAACAGCCTTAAACTCCGCTCTATCCTGTGCCAATCGTACTGTCTC